GTAAAAAACTATCTACAGTGAAACTGTGATTATTCTGACAGACTGTTCAGTTATAGAAAAATCACGTAACTAAATCTTCTGATAACAATTATTTACTGTTGAATGTCTTATTGAATCCATTTGCTTTTGTTAGTCAAATGTCGTTGTCAGTCATTGTTATTCTATATATGTTTGTACGAATACGTGTCATCTTTGCGACATACACTTTATTCTCGTATGTATTTTTTATTGTCATTTTGTTACATTCATTTTTTTTCAGTCTTATCATTTTAAACACAGTCATATGTTTGCAACGTTTATGATTATGACCTAAACATACCAATTATTCTTATAACAATTGAGTGTAATATATTATTAACACTAATTAATCATCATGTTAATTTGTCAACAATTTAATAGTATCAGGTAGGAATGTATTCAGCAAAGAAAATACTTTTAATCCAGGATGACCCTGCAATATTCAGACACAAAATCAAGACTCTTACTTTATGAGGTTATTTTACGTTCTTGAATACCATGCTTACTTATTTTGGTTGAATACAGAGCTGTTAAACCTAAAAAGGACTATGTTCTAGCCGACTGCAATATTTTTTTTGCAGCTGTGTTCGAGTCTGATATAAGCAGTATTGTGAACAGAAATATATTAAATCTTATGTTGCATAAGAAGACTGTTGGCATTTTGACAAAGTACAATAAAGACTAAGAGATAAAGGCTCGAAGGAATACACACGCATTTCTATATGGGTTTTTGACCTGAAATTGAGGACAAGCCTAGGTTAGCTTTACAAAGAATTGATACAAAATTGTTCGACTACGAAAAAAGGTAATTAATTAGATTGTATAACAATTTTTAATATAACAAAGTGGTCTAATATATATTAAATTGATTTAATTATTTAATAAGATTGTAAATTTCTGCAAAGTCATAGAGACGCTTGAGAAGGCGCTTATGCGTAATGCTCCGTTACAAATCTTTTTTTTCCAAATTCATCTTATTATTTTACACAGAAGACACACTAGGTTATTATCAAAATGCGTTGAAATTTAAGACACTTAAATAAGTAATATCTATATACAAGAGCGGCGGTTAGTGATTACATGTGCCGTCTCATTAAAACCAATAGCATGTTGCAGCTGCTGTGTAGTACGAGACACAAGAATCATTAATAGGGCAACACTCGATTTTTATTCAAACATAACTCAGGCGAATATTATTCAATGGGGAATTCGTGTAGCATGTGCAAAAACTTGAGCTACCGATCAATCCTGTAAAAATTCTTTGAAAATGCTTTAGTGATATAAGAGATGTAGTCCGGACGAATAAAAAACATAAAGCATAACTCTATAAAAAATCAATGAACCAAATAAATACAAAACAACACTTGGTATTGATCATTACAGTAGTTTGAATGAAACTGTCTCGTAATTACTGATAAAAAATAGTCCGGACAAGCCGGCAACACAAAAAAGACTTATAACATTCAAGGGTCAAAACTCAGCCAAAAACATTGAACCGAAAACTCCTTGTATTATGCGCAAGTACTTTTAGCTTCAAATTAATCATGCAAAGTTTAAATGAAATAATGCATTAGTGGTATAAGAGGAGTAGTCCGGGCAAACTTTTAAAAATCAAAATCATGAAAGTGATATTACTCTAACAAAAATTATTGAACAAAACAATGACTGCGATATGCACAATAAGACTTGGTACTGATCATTCTAGTACAGTTTGGATGAAATTAGTTTTTATGAGTGTTCAGGACAAGTTTTGTGACGCACCGACAGCCAGACGACGGAGCTTTTATCCTTTATGTTGCGCTACTCTGAACAGGCAACACAAAAACTTCTCAATGAATTGAAAAAAATTATTAATCAAAGTAAATTATGCAAACAAATGTGATACAATTCTTTGAAACCGGATTGACGTTTTCTTGCAATACATGAATAACATATCGAATACGCATGTATACTACTACATAGTTATTTTTCTTCTGCATTGAATTTATATTACTTGAGAACCAGTTCAATATTTGCTTATTTTGTAAAATTGTGTAAGATCTTTTACATACAAATCTTAGACAATAAACTTGAAACAAACATTCAAATTTTCCATTTAGTTAAATTTAATAATTCGAATATGACAAATACACTTGGACTATAGGGTTAATCAAGTTATTTTATAGCAAATGTTTTAAACCATTAAATCATATGAAAGTCCTTTCAAATACATAAGCGGATATAAAAGTGTTTTATTTTTATTTACGCAATGTATATTATCAAAGCTTTTTTTGTATTTGCTTTTTCTGGAGTAGATACATTAAATAAGGTCTTTTTATGTATTTACTTTTCATATTCATGTATCTGTTTTGTTATTGATATACTCGTGACTATGACGCTGGGTTATAAAGAATGTATGTAAATTCACATCAAATTAATTCGAAATATAATAATGTATTATTATTGGTATTAATACACATAAAAATTCTCTATTACATTTACATTTACATTGAACGATCGAGGCCGATTTGTCTTAAAAAGAAAGCTGAAAAGTCAAAATGGTAGGACAGAAATAGAGAATAATGTAACTGCGACCATTATGTAAAGGGTGAAATAGTGGTTTGTTAAGTCAAAGATAAGACCTATGCTTATGCACCATTTTCGTACGTGATCATCTGCAATCGTCTTAAAACGTTTTTCACAAACCTTTTCCCATTCCTGAATTTATTGTTCCCTCGTATCGGGCTTAAATGCATACTCGTATTTCTGTAGATGTAAATTCTTGACAAATTGCACAGTAACTTTCTATTGTAATAATTGCATTGACTTGTACCTGCAACTTCTAATATTGATATTTTATTTTATAAAATTCCATCAATCCATTGTAATTGGGTATGGCAGAAAATATTACATCCAGGAACATATGAACATGAAACAAAAATGTACCTATCGCAGCAGAAAAAGCACACTGTGCGACCTATATCTTTGCCTCTAAGACATATTTTATTTGGTTTGATGAAAAATAAAGGCAAACACACATATTTATTTTATTCCAGTTATTTTTATATCAACGCACGCACTGAAACACGAACCAAAAAAAAATGTCAAAACTATTATAAAATACTTAAAGTAGTCAAGGTAAACAATAATATATAAATCATGTTTCAATCATGATTGTGGGATTTTTTATGTCGAAGTAAAAAGTCAAACTTGCTGAAAATATATATTTTGTAAAAATTGGTAATGAATTATGACAAGCTTTATTTATGTCTGTTAAAAAAAGCATTTCTCCCATGCTTTTACAGTAATGTTGTGCCTGGTGTTTTGAATATTCTGTCTAAACGAAGTTTGGAGTTATATGCATAATGTTAGTACTTATATTTATACAAATACGGATACAATGAGAATGGTAATAAATTACGCAAACTCAGTCATAAATCGCACATAATAATATATAAATAACCTTATAAATTCTGATTTATTTTTGTAATATTTTGGCGAGTGTAGGACAAAAGCTTCCCCGGACAAAAGCCCCCCCCCACCCATTTAAAAATGACAAAGTGGACAAAAGCCCCCCCATGAAATTTACATATAGGACAAAGCTCCCATCATCAAAAATACAGGTAGGACAAAGCCCCCCCCCCCTTTTCCATCAAACAAAAGTCCCACTAAGGTTTATAGACCAGACTGATTACTATATTTTTTCACACACCTAGTGTTCGGGAACTTTGGTTATACTTCAAATAAATCGAAATGAGTATGCCCCTTTAACTTTTAGTTCCTTGATAAGCGTTGAAAAGCGATTTTTTGAAAATATTAATTTACATTTACATCTTAATAGAATTATCTTTTAAAACAATTACGTTTATTTATTAAATTAAACATACCGATTTTGACTTGTCTCTATACATCAAGTTCCGGATTTAAACTGACGATATTCTCAATAACACTTGTTTGCTGGATGGGGGTTGGTTGTCCTACCTGTAATTTTGATTGGAGGGCTTTTGTCCTATGTGTAAATTTTATGGGGGGGCTTTTGTCCATCTTGTCCTTTTTAGATTGGGGGGACTTCTGTCCGGTGGGGGGTCTTTTGTCCGTATCCCTATTTTAGCTCATTTTGCGGAATGCAATAACTTTTCAATACTGTTGAAATTACTTTGTGGTCATTTTTTCTGATACCGTTTATAATTTTATTATTTTGATATTTGCTTATTAGATGCCATAGATGTACTTGATGTTTATCCAGTATGTCGTGTAGACCATTGCCAAACAAAATAAAAGAAAAGTAAGAAAAGAATTGTCCAACTATTTCTACTGTAAATATCAGAATATGTTCATAGAACAAAATTTTTTCTCAACTGTCAAGATGAATTTTGAGTGTTTGTTTTATTTCTCATCACGATTATCACTTTAAGATAATGAATGTTAATATATATAATTTCGATATTAACATACTTATTTAATTATCGTTTTCTTGACGTACTTGACGTACATCGAAAATACGAAAATAAAAATATAACAGTACATTCATAAACATGAGTATCTGTGATAGTGATCTTAATAGGGTGTATCTTGCTTTCTTTGTTAGTCATTTTGGATGTTAAACACAACTTGTCATTTATGCCTCGGTAAAGTCCAACGCAGAATAAACTTTAAACAAGAAGATTACAAAATAAAATCAATATTTACATTTTGGGAGGAAACATGGTTTACAAAAACATAAGTATTCGAGAAATTATAAAGTATTTGTGATTCAAAAACACCGTTGTTTAATTTAAGAAGTGAAACTTGTAATCGTTTGTATACAAAATGTTCCTCTATAATAGATTCGTTTAGACTTTATTTAGAGAAATGATGTCCTTGTCAGCACTTTGTACTAAGACAAGATGTGATCATGACTCCATTTCACCTCATTATAATTTTTATAATCATATTTAGGTGTAACGAAGTCATACTGATGATTTTATTTCTCCAAATAAGCCTTTCTTTTAGGGTTTTAACTAATAAAAAACCAAGACTTAAGTTTCCTTATATGATTTGGCACAAGGACAGAAACATACGTGCGTATCAGATTATTTCGTAATAAAACATCGCCACCATTGTATCACGGAATGGTACAAATGGTTTACGTTTTCAGGTTCGTTTCGAGAAAGTTACAATATGATAATTAAGTATGATTGTGTCATTTGCGCCATTTAGTATTTTGTCCCAATTCTGATCATATGACGAGAAATTTCATATCGGTCATTTAATACCACTAAAATATCTTCCTTTTTTCTAAAAACAATAGGACTTTATAAATAGTTTTCATCTAATTTACATATTAAATTATTTTTATTCAATAAGATTAAACGATATTTTGATATGCGAAAAAAATTTATTATCTCTTTTTTCAAAACCAAATTTCATCAATCTTTTTAAAAATAATTATTATTCAAACTCCGATATTCCATTTAAGAGAGTGTCCGGTTTTGACCTATCGGGTTCAGTTGCAAAGAGAACAACAGACTCGATGAAATCGTCAACGGGAAAACGATCATTAACGGGCTTATACATGTAGAAAAAATGCTCGTCTATGTGTGTATTCTTGTGCTTTCCAGCAACTAAGTTCATAATGAATTCATTTTTTGAAAGAAATGTGTCTCCATCCAAGTCTAACAATTTGCACCAATCCGTTGCAAACACACGCACCATCTCAATAAATGTAGTTGTACTGGACTCATATCTTTTTTTCATCATTTTTATAAAGTCATCTTTAGAGAGTTCTTGCTTGTTTGTGAAAAAGAAGACCTTCCATAGTCTATTCATTTCTTTTATGATCTTCTTTTTTTGCTTATCGGTCAGATCATCGCGAGCTTTATACTGTTCCCTGTAATTAATATAAATGAACCTATGAGTAAACACTATGAATCAACTAGACGAGGCGAATAATTTGCTTCTAATTACTAGTTGAATTCAAGAAATTCGTGAAGTTGAAATTATGAATTATAAAGTTAATTTAGTGTATTCTGTATGTTGAAATCGTGAATTTATAAAATTTGAAATTGTGAATTCCAGATAATTCAACATCACCGGTCTTTTGTAATATTCTTTTTCATATACATTTTAAATCGTTTAACCTTATCTCAAGTTATTCATTCATCGGGTTTTGTGAGAGCTAGAGTAATTAATTAATACTGATATTCTAATTATGTTCCAGTAATACATTTTCACTTACAGAAATGCTTTGGGGTCTTCCAATGAAAGAATTCCATCATGACTGATATCATCAATATCAAATAATTTTCCCCACTTGTCAATTAGGTACCCGTTCGCCTGAAAGAAAAATGAACAAAAATCACATGAAACGTGGAATAAGATACTTGTTTTGCAATATGTATCACCATATTTCTATATCGTCACTCACGCAATAAGGTCAATTTGTATTTTTTATGGTAAATAACGTTGATTGTTTGGTCAGTTTTGTAAATAACTTTCCTTGTCCACTTCGCAATATTTTATTTTTCAATACATCTATAAAATATTCATGCAAATGTCATCGTGTCAATAAATCTTGGAACAAAGCAGTTTGTTTTTGTGTTGAACACTCGTTTTTGTTTTTTACGTGTGTATTCATTTACGATAAATATTTTCATGGGCACTTTTACAATATACACAAACGGCATAGATTTCGACTGAATTATTTTTTTAATTTGAAGACAGTAAAAACCTACGATTTATGACGGAATTATTATTTAAGAGAGTGAAGGTTGAGAGTTCGAACATATCATGATTTTACGCGCTTTGCATCTTTGAACACTCGTTTTTGTTAATACGTGTGTATTCATTTACGATAAATATTTTCATGAGCACTTTTAATTTACAATATACACAAAAGGCATTAATTTCTACTGATTTTTTTTATTTAAAGACAGTATAACATTTATAATCAAAGATACGTTTTGTTGGCTGTCAAATCAGACAATACTTAACTTATTATATAAAGACATTCCAGTTTTACAAGAGGAGTAGGAATTCAATCACCGAGGTTCCGTTAGTTTGCTTGATAGATTCCGCACATTAAAGACCTAAGGTTTATTGCGGAATTATGGCATCATAGATTACCCTCTCAAACCAGATGTCGACTAGGTAACATTAGAGTCACAAATTCTCATCATTTACAGGCGATATAGCTCTATTTTGAAAAAGGTTGCAAGGGATATCTTACTGTCAAGCTTTTTCTCTTTGAATACCATGATCTTGCACGTAAGTACTATATATTACCTATGTTAAATTGTTTTATAACTTTTTGACTCAGTTCCTTCCAAAACATTGATTAATTACTAAACAAAAATAAAGAGTATTTTATGATTTTACTAACTCATTTTGTAACATTGAATATAAATCCTTCATATAAGTAAACCCTTTTTCTTAGTTTTAAAAAATATTATTCTAATAAGTATTGTGTTTGGCACGGTATGGCCAGCATGGGTCGTGTCAAACAAACAACTACTCTTTAAAGTATATGTTCTTTATCCGAAAACAAAAAAAATATTTCGTACGAACTACCTATAAATTGCCGTAGGATTATCTCAAACGTCTACAGTTTATTAACCTAGTAAAAACCATCATGTTGCTATAGGTAAATTGTTTAGTGTTACAATATCAAACGTGACATTTCATGGTATAAATTATATTTTAGGCACTTATGATGCGTATAAATACATCTTGTTATAGTGTTTCTTTGTTTCTATTTACCTTATTTGATTCTTGCTCGACAGCCATAGCACAAGCTACAGAAAAGAAATAACAAAGTAAAACGACATCTAATACACTGCAACAACTTCATTATTACATATCTCAAAATGTCATATTACATATTACAGTTAATACTTTTATTATTTTGTGGTAATATTTCATTTATCGGTCTATATTAGAACTAAGAAGGGTAGTGCAATTTTTGAAAACTACATGCAGAACTATTTATCTATAATTATAGTTTATTGTTATCTTATTATTTTTCAAGTGCAAGGCAGACACCATCGGACTTAAACTATTGCTAAAACACGAATGCATTCTCTTGTTTTTTCTTTAGCATTTTTTTAAGGTCAACAAGCAGTAAAATTAGCCTAAAATTCTGAATCGTACACCCTGTGGAATTTGCTGCATCAGGTAATTTAAACAATTGATTGTACAATTCCCGAGCAACTGTGTTCTAAAATATGCAATGAAAATAAAAGGACAATATCATGAACAATTAAAAAATACTAAGATTACTGCCTGTAGACAGATAACCGTAGCAAATCAAAACAAATGCCGGATTGAACCGGGTGATTCTCCCCGAATAAGTTTTGGATACAAAAAAATCCCCTTTGGGTTTTTTCAGATTTATTGGAAAAAGTTAAAAATGCAACTTTTCCCAAACATAAGTGGGCAGATTTAAATGTTTCTTTAAAACCTGACATTACCAATCAATTACCGTTTATTTTTTTTATGTTTTTTGTATTTTTACAAAAATTTGTCCCAGAAAAGGGTTAAAGGGGTTTAAATTTTTTTAAAAAAAGGGGTAAATACCCCAAAAAAATGGGGCGGCAGAGTAACGGGTATTTTTGGTATTTGCTAAAAATTACTAAAAAGGTTTTAATTTGTTAATATTATGAAAATTTCAGGCTTTTTAAATAAAAATTTCAAAAGGGACAAATTTAAAAATAAATAAAAAATGAAATTTTGCTTTTTTTTAGGGGGGGGTTTAAAAGGGCCCTTTTTGCACTCCCAATTTTTTAAATGGTTTTATCTTCCTCGAATTTTTGATGTTGATACCACTCAGGGTTTCCCAGGCTTTTGGGGTTTTGGTCCCTTTTCGGGTTTTCAAGCTTTGCCCCGACAAATTCAAAGTGAAAAGTGGAAAGGGCAAAACCCCAAAAAATAGGAATGGAGTTATGGTTTTTTTACAGCATTTACCGGTTTCCCCGACCTACAAGTTTTATGTTGATATCTTTTTGTAAATTATACCCCCGGCAAATTTTAGTTTTAAAAATGAAAAAAGGGCAGTAAAAAAAAAATTTTAGTGAGTAAGCTTTTTTGCACCAATTTATTAGTGGATCTTTACTTTAAAATGTTTTTTTTTGAACCTCTTATTTTTTCAGAGCTTTGCCCGGAAAAATTCAAAGTGAAAAAAGGGTTTTTATGTTTGCCTAAAGATTTTTCAAAAGGGAAATTATTCAAAGGGGAAAATAGAGTTTTGGGTTCTTTGACACGTACTCTGCTTAATGCCTCTACTACTGTGTCCAGTTTAAAGAAATTATGTCTAAGGGTTTTCAAGTTATTCTCAGGACAAAACGAACGGACGGACATACGGACAAGGCGGCGACTATATGCTTTCCCTCCGGGAAGCATACTAAATGCTTTCCCTTCGGGAAGCATAAAAACGATGCTTAAGATTTTTCTTAACATACAGTACGCAAATGAAATAAGTCAATCGTTGATAAAACTTATCTATGTTGAAGATACAAAAAAGACGATTGCTATATCTAATACAAATAGTACAACTAATAACAAAATGCTTTAGTAAATTTGACCGTGGTTATTTCCAATATAAAGAGAACAAATAAAAATCATGCTAAAGTAAAAAAGAATGCCATATAAACAAAAGCAAAAACGATCAATGTGAAGTTTAAAAATGTAATTTACCTAATAAATGCAAAAAAAGGAAATGAAAATTTTGAAAACAAAAAACGAAAAATTATGTGTTAAAAAAGAAAATAAAATTGTAAACCTTAGGGGCAATAAATGAAATAACCGAAAATTGAAATTTAAAACCCCTTTTTTTTCAATTGCATAAGGGAACAAAAATTTCCCACTTGCTAAAGTTGAAAAAATTTTTTGCTTTTTTTTTCCAAAAATTTAAAAAGAAAAGGGCTAATTAAAAATCATTTTTAAGAAAAGATAAAAATTTTTATTCCAATCCCAAAAAGGGCCCCAAAAAAAAGTAAGAAATTCGTGAAAAACCCTGTGTTTTTCCCCCCCAAAAAACTTTAAGCAAAAATGAGTATTTTCAAGAAAAATTTTAAAAAAATATATAAATTTTTAAGGAAGAAATAATGATAAGTAATGGAGGAAAACTATATTTTTTAATAATTTAAAAGATTTTTTCTTGTGTTCAAGGGAAAAATGTTTTTTAAAAAAAATTAAAATAATAGTTTGGGAAATAAAATATTTGCATGTTCAAAGATATACAAAAAAATTCCCCTTAGATTTTCAAAGGGTATGTTTAAAAATTTATTTTAAATTAAAAATTTTTTACTTTTAAATTGTTTTTTGAAAAGGGATTGTTTAAACCTTTAAACCCTTCAACGGCAAACAAACAATGAAAAAGGCGCCAAAAAAAACCCTTTCCCTCCTGATTTTTTTTTTCTTTCGAAATTTATCCAAAACCTTTTTATCCCTTTCCCTTTAAATTTAATGAAAATTAAAAGGCTCACACATTCAACCAATCGTTCTTTTTTTTAGAGGCATAGTTTCAGAATAAGTGTGAAAGACGTTTATTATTGCCAATATACTGTTGAATAATCGATACTTGAATTTTCTAGAGATCGGTTAGATGTATGCAGTATTTGGTTTTGTTCATATTTGTTTTTTAAAGATTTTTGCTTTGATAAGAGTTTCATTTAATTATTTGTTTATGGCTCATGTACACCAAAAGACAAGAGAGAGTGATGTAACAAGAAACGTGTGGAATGATTATAAGTAATGTATATTTGTTTACTTTAGTACCAGGAAGATTGTATAAATAGGTATGTAGGTGTGAATTGTATTTGTAACTCTTGAATGTTAGTTATGCCCAAAATGACTTATGTTATTCTTGAATGAATAGTGTTTTGCATGCTAGTTTGGAGCTGGAATGGCTTGGTAAACTTGCCTTTCTTATTTTAAATTTAATTGAAGCATTTCTGGGCGGTTTATATATAAAATTATCGACAATATAACTTGTGTATAATGAATAGGTGTATACCTCATGAAATCAACTTTTTTAGATATAATGTCTTTGTATTAATGAACATGTCGTAGATTGTATGTAATGTAATTAGATTATTTATTTCAAGATGTGAGAAAAAGGTAATTATGTATAGCAATTGATGGCGGTTCTTCATGAAGCACTGCAGAAGAATACATTTCAACATTTAAGCTCAAGTATATATAAATGGTTGTTATGTTCCGTAAAAACAGATTGATGTAATTACGGACTTATGATGTTCTATTGTTAAGGAGATGAATTGATTCTACAATGTTTTCTCTCTGTATTATCTTTAACCCCTTAAGACTATACCATTTATCTGTTATCATTGACGTTGGAATCACTTTGTTTTCAGATTTTACTGCCACGACAGCAGGTGTCCAAATGCTGTGTGGCAGCTGGTAAAAGTTCGTTTACTTCAGTATTGTTTATTTTTTGCCTTCTGGATTATTGAGTGTTGGAATTGGGTACTGTTCAGCGGTGTAAGGGGCGTTGGGGATGTTGCACTTATTCTGTATTCCTCATATACAGACTCAATCAAACCGAGTCTGCAATTTTCATGTAATTTTCTTGTGAAAAATGCTTTCGATGGATCACTTTTTTTCTAGATTTTTTCCAGTGTAGTTGTTTTGTTCATCTTCTATAGCGCTAGTGTTTTCCTTCGAACTGTCTTGTTCCATTCAATGAAGGAACAAGCAAAAACGACAAACAAAAGAGAAAATAAATGAATGGTAAAACATGACATACGAATTGAACTAACTCAATATACGAAGTTACAAATAAAAGACCATATCGTAGCCATTGCAGGAAAAGGTCATTTCATAACTCATATCCAATGATGTACACTACGAGTTATTTTTTTATCGTATTGACATACAACATATGACTGGACAACACGACCCTGAGACACAGATAATAAAGTGTGAGGATATCAAGATTAACGATTTGTTGAGATGTTGAGATAGATTTTTAAATGTTGAGAGCCGTTAAAACTGCACAGATGTACAGACTGGTCTGCTTCTCCATTTGAATCACCGGACTATTTACTTAAAAAAAATGTATTTGAAATTTAAAGTGAGATAAATTGAATCACAAAATATATAGGATAAAGGATCAAAAATAGTGTACTGGTATCGAAGCACTTTCCGTTAAAAATATGAGGATAATTAAAAATTTCTCAAAATCAACGTCTCCGATTTAAATAAACTTTTGATACGACTTAATAAAGGTCATGCATTGTTATTGCAAATAAAAACCGGATTTCTGATTTAGACATGCGCATCACAAATGGGGCTCCAACGGCGTGTGTAAATTAACCGTAATTGATCCGCTACAGATCAGGTTCCGTCACATTTTTTTAATCGTTTATTTTGCGGGTTTATAAATCGGTATCGATATTTATTTTATGATAAGACTTTTTGACTACCTCTTTAGGTAAATAATATTGATTTATTTTGGGTTTTAATAGTAAATATTCAGAAATCCATTAGATTTAATATGACATCTCCAGAGTTTTCACTGATGGTTTCGGCGCATTGACCAGTTCCGAACAATCAAGCAAGTCATTTACGTAACCGACATGTGCGACAATAAATATATAAAATAGATCAAATATCTCTGGTTTTGTTGATATCTGACATTAAAAAATAAATAATTAAGTCACCATTCTATTTCTGTTTATAATTTTTGTTCGATTATTAAATCTACAGTAGGCAAAAAATGTTAAAGTTCAGCTCGACATTTCTATTGGTATACCAGTATGTTATTTGTATGTAAACT